GCGCCCCCCCGTGTCCCCTCCCGTCCCCCCCGTGGCCCTCCCTTTGCCCCCCCCGTGTCCCCTCCGTGTCCCCTCCCTGGGTCCCCCCTGTGTCCCCCTGTGCCCCCCCCGTGTCCCCCTCCGTGTCCCCTCTGTGTCCCCCCCGGGTCCCCCCGCCCTGCCCGGACCCGCGCGCGCCGAGGCCCCGCCCACCGCCGTGACGTCACGGGGCTTCCGGGGCTTCCCCGCTTCCGGGGGCGGGGCCTTGAGGGGCCGGAACGGAGCCCTATGGATCCCCTATAGAACCCTATGGAATCCTCTAGAACCCTATGGATCCCCTATAGAACCCTCTGGAATCCTCTAGAACCCTATGGAACCCCTATAGAACCCTATGGAATGATCTAGAACCCTACAGAGCTCCCCCATAGCCCCAAACGGCCCCGAGTGTCCCCAGAGGGACCCCGGGGGGACCTGAAGGGCTCGGGGACCCCAAAAGGATCCCAGAGACCCCAAAAGGATCCCAAAGGAACCCAAAGGGACCCAAAGGGACCCAAAGGGACCCCACAGACCCCAAAGGGACCCCAAAAGGATCCCAAAGGGATCCCAAAAGGATCCCAGACACCCCAAAAGGATCCCAGAGACCCCAAAAGGAACCCAGAGACCCCAAAGGGACCCCAAAAGGACCCCAAAGGGATCCCAGAGATCCCAAAGTGACCCCAAGAAGAGAGAGCCGCGGTTTCATACAAAAGCCCTTTATTGGGGACCCAGGGCAGCACCCCAGGGCGGGGGCACCCCCCGAGGGGAGGGTGGGGGGCTCCCCCGGGTGGGTGGGGGGCACCCATGGGTGGGGGGGGGTCTCAGAACCACAAGGGGGAAATCGAGGCACATGTTAGGGTTGGGATGGGATCCGAGGCGGGTTTGGGGTGGCACCCCGGGGTGGGTGGGGGGGTCTCAATCCCCCCCGGGGGGGGCTCAGGGGTTCAGGAGGAGGGGTCAGAACCCCAAGGCAGAGGGGTTGGGGCACATTTGGGATTTTGGATTTAGGATTTTGGGACAGGATCCAAGGCGGGTTTGGGGTGAAGCCTGGGTGGGTGGGGGGCACACCGGGGTGGGTGGGGGGCACCCACGGATGGGTGGGGGGGTCTCAATCCCCCCCGGGGGGGCTCAAAGGTTCAAGAGGAAGGGTCAGAACCCCAAGGCAGGGATCGGGGCACACATTTAGGATTTGGGGAAAGGATCCGAGGCGGGTTTGGGGTGGCACCCCGGGGTGGGTGGGGGGCTCCCCTGGATGGGTGGGGGGCACCCCTGGGTGGGCGGGGGGCTCCCCGGGGGGGTCCCCTCAGCGGCGGCCGCGCTGTTTCATGTGCAGCACGAAGTAGTCGTTGCAGGCGATGGTCAGCCCGGCCACCAGCGAGAAGAAGCCCTGGAAGCCAACGCGGCCATCGCGGCTCTGCTCCACATCCCGCAGGATCCGCTCCAGCGCCTGCGGGTCCCGCTGGTTCTGGGGGAAAACACCGCGAAAAAGGGTCAGAGATCCCACACGGGAATGGGGTCAGAGATCCCACACGGGAATGGGGTCAGGTCCCGCACGGGAATGGGGTCAGGTCCCGCACGGGAATGGGGTCAGAGATCCCACATGGGAATGGGGTCAGAGATCCCACATGGGAATGGGGTCAGATCCCACAGGGGAATGGGGTCAGATCCCACATGGGAATGGGGTCAGAGATCCCACATGGGAATGGGGTCAGGTCCCAAATGGGAATGGGGTCAGATCCCACACGGGAATGGGGTCAGATCCCACACGGGAATGGGGTCAGATCCCAAATGGGAATGGGGGAAAGGGAATGGGGGGATCGTCGCCCCCTGATCCCAGGGTTTTATAGGAGCTGATCCCGGGGTGCTGTGGGGTTCTGTCCCAGGGTTCTATGGGATCTAATCCCAGGGTTCTACAGGATTTGATCCTAGGGTTTATGGGATCCCATCCCAAGGTTTATGGGGTCTGATTCTGGGGTTCTATAGGATTTGATCCCAAGGTTAATGGAATCTGATCCGGGGATTTTATGGGATCCAATCCTGGGCTTTGATCCCGGGGTTTATGGGATCCCATCCCAGGTTTTATGGGTGTGATCCCAGGGTTTACGGGCTCTGTTCTGGGGTTCTATAGGATTTGATCTCAGGGTTTGTGGGATCTGATCCCAGAGTTTTATGGGATCCAATCCCAGGGTTCTATCGGGTTTGATCCCAAGGTTTATGAGATCGGATCCTGGGGTTCTCCAGCTCCTCCTGTCCCTCCCATCCCCTCCAGCACACCCACCTCGAGGAATCCCGGGAATTCCTTGTCCATGAGTGCCCGGAGGTCCTCCTTGGCCAGGTGCTCCTTGTCCCCCGCGTACTTGTGGAAGGTGAACATCAGCGTCTCCATGGCGTGCTCCAGCTGCGACGGCATCCTGTGTCCTGCAGTGCCCAAATTCCTGCTGGGAACCACAAATTCCCCATGGAAAACCCCAATTCCCAGTGGGAACATCAAAAATCCCAGTGGGAACATCAACAATCCCAAAATCCCAATGGGAACACCAAAAATCCCAATGGGAACCTCAAAAATCCCAGTGGGAACAAAAATCCCAGTGGGAACCTCAAAAATCCCAGTGGGAACCTCAAAAATCCCAGTGGGAACATCAAAAATCCCAGTGGGAACCTCAAAAATCCCAGTGGGAACCTCAAAAATCCCAGTGGGAACATCAAAAATCCCAGTGGGAATGACAAATTCCCAATGGGAAACCCCAATTCCCAGTGGGAACATCAAAAATCCCAGTAGGAACCTCAAAAATCCCGATGGGAATGACAAATTCCCAATGGGAAACCCCAATTCCCAATGGGAAACCCCAATTCCCAATGAGAAACCCAAATTCCCAATAGGAAAGGCAAAATTCCTGATGGGAATCCCAAAATTCCGAATGAGAAACACAGAATTCCCACTGGGAACCTCAAAATTCCCAATGGGAACCCCAAAATTCCCAGTGAATTTCCTGAATTCACAATGGGAACCTCAAAATTTCCCTCAGGAACTTCAAATTTCTGACTGGGAATCCCAAATTCCCACTGAGAACCCCAAAATTTTTTCCCAGGAACTTCAAATTTCCCAATGGGAACATCAAAATTCCCCCTGGGAACCCTAAATTTCTCCCCAGAAACCTCAAAATTCTGCCTGGAAACCCCAAAAATCCCACTGGGAATTCCCAATTCCCCATGGGAAACCACAAATTCCCAGTGGGAACTTCAGATTTCCCCCTGGGAACCCCCAAATCCGTCCTGGGACCCCCCAAATTCGTCCTGGGAACCCCAAAATTCCCTCCTGGACACCCTAAATTCTCTCTTGGACCCCCAAAATTCCTCCTGGACCCCCAAAATTCCTCCTGGACCCCTAAAATTCCCTCCCAGGACCCCAAAATTCCTCCTGGACACCCAAAATTCCCTCCTGCATCCCTCAAACTCCTCCTGGACATCCCAAATTCATCCTGGATCCCCCAAATTCCTTCCTGGACCCCCCAAATTCCCTCCTGGACCCCCAAAATTCCTCCTGAACCCCCAAAATTCCTCCTGGACCCCCCAAATTCCCTCCTGGACCCCCCAAATTCCTCCTGGACCCCCAAAATTCCCGCCTGGGACCCCAAAATTCCTCCTGGACCCCCAAAATTCCCTCCTGGGACCCCAAAATTCCTCCTGGACACCCAAAATTCCCTCCTGCATCCCTCAAACTCCTCCTGGACATCCCAAATTC